GACATGTTATGCTCTGCAGTCAACTAATTGAAGGGGACATGTTATGCTCTGCAGTCAACTAATTGAAGGGGACTTCACTATTGAGAATATCTTCACTATTGAGATTAGTGAAGATTTTAGCACTGATAAGTACTTTTGCTGGGGTAAACTGGGTCAGGATTACCCACACAGGTGGAAAAAAGTGCTTCACTTTTTACACATTTATTATTCATATTACTGAGCATGTGCAGGGCTGCGTACCACGAAGAAAGGTTTTATCGTCGATGTTATTTACCTAATATTTAATCTCTAGAAAGATGAGGAAATATGTTGCTCTATAATTTAGATTTGCAATAACATTTGCTGTGGGAAACTTCTTTAAAGAACGTGATAACCTTTTTATAGCGCGTTGATAATTTTTTATGATGAATACTTGTTTTTTGTGCGTGAATAATATTCGTACTGAAGATGAAACATCTTTTATTATTTATTTGAAGAAAACTTACTTGAGATGAACATTTATTTTGTCTCTTCCAACACATAATTTGATAACAATGAATACTGTTGTTACTTTATTTTAAATGTGAGCTTCCTTATCTCGCGAAATATTTTTGGGGTAGAGAGACCTCGGGCGGCGTTTAACCTTGGTATTTTATGATGATTAACTTTAATCACTACATATAATTACATATTAGAACTAGAGACGATTAGAACTTTAATCGATATTTTACAATTTAAGATTAGAGACGATTTTTAACCTTGGTGTTTTATGGTGATAAACTTTACTCGATATTTTACAAATTAAGATGTTCTCTTCAGTTTGATATGATTTTTTTCGAACCATGCAACTTAATAGATATAAAGGAAACTTTTGTAATTATTCCTTATTTCACCGCCCACAATATTTAAATTTGGTAAGTATTTGAATGCAGATCAGAAATTTAGGTAAGTTGAATGTAGAGCAGAAACTAAACTTCTCTGCGCTGACGTTCAATTCTTTCAATATTTTAACAAATTTTAGCATAAGATTAAAAATATAACTCAGTACTCACTGCAGTGAGTGACAGAGAGCGCATTTTCTCGTCGACGAAAACTTGAGGTCACGGACGGACGGACAGACGGACGGACGGACAAACTGACATGGACAATAGTGTATTTTTTCCATACAATGAGAAAATGCGCTAAAAAGACGTGGTTCGCCTTCTATTCTTGGTCAAACCTCATATAAAATTATACTTCTATAGGTTTGTAAGAAAAAAAATCGTTTTTCGAATTCATGATCAGTTCAGTTTTGTTACCAACTCTTCATCAATACTCATAATAACCCAAAAAATCTCTATAAATGTGCAGAAGAATTTTCTCTCGATCCGACAGGAGGCCGGCTATACTCCAGTGAATTCCTAGCCGCTTTCTTGTCCTATGCAAATTTGTCCCTAACAAGACATGGACGGCGCAGATTAAGGGAGGTGTCGAGAGGCTACACTTGCTCTGTAGATAACAACAACCTCATAAACGCGAGAGAAAGCATTTAAAATAATGTTAAACTTACTTAAATAACATGTTAAAACAACAAGTGGCATTAATAGAAAGAGATATATCAGTATTGAAGTATTTTGTAATAGTTTCAAATATCCATTGATAAATCTAAATTAGAAACATTATGGTAAGCTCTCGTAATAACCATGAATTTGCTGTTGAGAATTGTTAAGTTTTATTTAAATTAAGCATACACAATAAATCGTTTAAATCTAATAAAACCGTCGTCCGCCATCATTAAAGTCACAAAAAGTCGATAAACTCGTCAGCTGTTACCATGAAATTCTACTTAAGCGATAAAGCCTGACAATTTCTTGCCTCGAAAGCGTTTTGATATCAAACTTTCGATGGGTCGGAATAAACGTTTTAAAGTTAAAGCATTGAGTGTCCCTGTGCAGAGGCAGGGAATATATTAAATGACGAATAAACCACAACGCAAACGTTAACAATGTAAGAAGTAAAGAAGTATGTGTACAAAAGATGACCAAAATACTGGGTTTATGGATAGGGTCAACCAATGCTTGCATAAGGTAAAGAATGGTGAAAGTCTACTAAAAAAATGAGTGAATGAATGAACGGGCACGATTCAAACGGGAGTTAGGGTTCCACTCGTACAATACACAAAAAGCTTACATGAATATATACAGGACAGGCGAGAGAGTTACAGTGAATAATGGGATCTGTTCGACGAAAGTGTTGGACAAAAATACAGACCCTTCCCCCACAATTGCGAACAAACATACAAAAACCAAATGCAAAGAAATCTCCGTATCTGCTGGCAATGATTGATTGATTAAATAAATACAAAATACAACCTTTAAATGGGATAAAATAGGACCCTTAACGCAAAGGATGAAGTATAAAGGAATAAAATCGTTGGCTGGACATTACGCCGAGGTAGACAAGCTAGGCGCTCATTGGTAGATGTCGTAGCAGGACTTTCACCCGGACGGTGAAACCTGCGGCCACTCGGCCTGCCCATGCTTTTACTCACCAACGATTTCCTCTCTCAGTTTAAAAATAAGTTGAAACATTTCGAATTTAAGTTGTATTACAAGTTTTTCTGAACTTTCAGAACTTGTTATAAGTGTTTGATAATATGATTTTGTTCAGAATTTTGAAGTGAATGTGAAATTTAAAAATGTCTGTTGGTAGCTGAGAAAAAATAGATAGACTCATGTATTTATCTGTATAAAATTGAGCTCAAAATTTCTAATTTTTTTTTTACACTCGAATCGACAAATGGCAAAATGGTGAGTGGAATTTGTGAGGAAAACATCCTGCGATCCTGTAACTGATGTGATTAAAATTACGCGACTTAGAGAATATAGTTTGAATTCGCGCAGATTTAAGGATTTCAAAACTTTTTTCCTGAAAAGACAGCCTCGTGGGGCAAAAGTTTGCAGGCGAGTAGTGGCGATACGCATGCAAGATGATTGATCGAATTTTCGACGACATTGTCAGTGTTCAAACATGTTACATGTAGAATATATAACTTGTTATATGCACCGTACATATAATTAACACCAACATATATGTAAAATGTTGCATGTAACTGACTTTCATGTAGGCTGATCTTTTGAGAACGTTTACTAAGAAATTCGAAGACGACCTGCCATGACTGGATAAAAAACAAGCGGTCCAAGACATTCGCTTTCTAAAAAGAAATGACAAAAAATACACAAGACAAATATACAATCATACGGTAATTAATAAATAAATCTAATAATCAGAGCTAAATCACACGAACCGAACAACTTGATTCCTCGCTGTGCAAACAGGCATCTCTGGCAAGATCTTTACAATTAATGGTGCCGGAGTCTAAGACGTTAACTACGTTCGAAAGTACTTCTTTCTACGAGATTAATAATTCCCAGCATGGAAAATTAAATTAAGCTTGCTGAAACAGCGGCTGCATTACATATTTTGGGATTAACCAAGTGATTATATACACTTGAACAAAAGACATCAAACAGGACATTACAAAATTGCACTGTTAATGGTAAAAGCATCAGGCATCGCAAAACGAAGGTTAGGTGAAATTAAGTTTTAGGTAGTTCTTAATTTACTTCAGTATTTATGTACAATGAGTGTTGAATATACACATATACTTTAAAAGATGATATTCCTATTTCTGAAAAATTTCGAAATGGGACAGAATGGAGCTTTGTAAAATAAATGGTTTGAACAAGCCTATCTTACGTCGAATGAATGCAGTTGGGAAATTATTAGGACAGCAGGAACAACGATTATTAATAGTATGGTGAATATCAAATCCATTGCGCCAGAAGAGGTCTGCTTTATCTAGAGGGTCATCTATACCTAATAACACTGAGGTCAAATACCACCACATTTTAATATCTGGTGAACGAAAAACTTAAAAATATCGAACGAAGTTATTTGCATTTAGGTGTATAATAGTTTCTCACGTAACAGAAGTATATCAATTCAATGGAAGATTTGTAGATTCAAGACTTCAATTAGGATGAAAGCAAATTCCAAAATGGGCGGCAAATCTGGATGCAGTTAAGAGTTGTCGCGCTGTCGCTCCTTTACAAGCGGTGGTCGGTACGTGGACCACAAAGAAACAATACAGAGATTGCAATAGATGATGCAAGTCCGTAGGAATTCTAATGAGATCGTAAGTCACACCTCCTCAGTAACGTTCACTTTTAGACCTTGGGACATCATTTATGTTTACTATAACAGTTATTAGGTTACGATTGTACGATGCCACGTTAATTAACAACACACTTTTTGTTAAATTAGTAATTGTAGTTGCATTAATGATTTGAGGCCGCCATTGATCAGTCTACTTCTCCACCGACAGTAAAGGAGTCAAGAAAAAGAAGTAATCGTAGTAAGAAAGAAGATGCATGGTTCCGGGGGACTTTTATAGTGTACACGAGGCTCCAGTTATCTTGCGTTGGCACACATCGAAGGCATACACGGACAGAAGCGGTAATTATGGTGCATTGAACAATTAAATTGCAGCTATAGTTGAACGTCAAGTATAATTGTACGTCGAGTACAGAAGAACATCAAGCACAATAGTATTTTAATTACAATTGAATTTCAAACATAATTGAACTTCTAGCACAATTGTATTTCAAGTACAGATGAAATTTGGTGAAATAAATCCGTAAAAAAACAGTGGCACGCTTCCAACACTCGCAGACATACAGGGTAATCATGTATTTTTTAAAACATGAAATAGGAAAAATAAATGAATTTTGAATGTATTTCATCGTTTCGATGGTTAAAATCCTGGCTAGTAATAGATATTAACAATTAGATGTCTTACAATAACATTTTATTAATTTTCACCAGGTAATCTCTCTCTTAGATATAGGAATAACACAACAAGACAAAAACATTAAAACACACTATAATATCACTAATATCATGTATATAAATGGGATTATTTTTTGTTCGTGTTACCGAGATAGTTTCAGCATGGAAATAAAGTGCATTCATTTTTTCAGATCGCCTCGTGGTGTGGGCACTGCTGGTCGTGTGCCTGCTGCTAGTGTCAGCCCACGTCAAGGCGGATTCTTTATTTGGTGGCGGCAGAAAACTGTCCGTAAGCCTGACGGAAATCACGGATCACGGATCAAGAATCACGATCGATGAGTCACCGTCACTTAAAAATCGTGGGCAGAAAAGTCTGCAACCCGAATCCCGGACTTCAAATCTTCGACCAGCAATGAGAAGCAAAATCTCCAGAGGCAACGCAGGAGGAAACTCTAACAAAGAAGGATCGCTTTTCGACGATATCGCGCCTCAGATGCCAGTGGACTATGAAATTGTGAAGCTTTCTGATAATTTGAAGGATAACGGAAAAGTTGAAACTAAGTCCCTCTTTGATGAGATCAGCACCACAGGAAAAGAAATAAATAATTCAAAAATTTCATCATCAAATCGGCTTCCCAAACGACCATCTACAAGCTCCTCACAACAGCACAAATCATCTTTATTTGATCAAATTCATGCCCAAAAGGGCAAAACACCCTCATTACCGAACGGAAATACCAAAACAACCGAAAGGAATAACCTACGCAACGAAGTTGCTCGCACAAAGATTAATTCGATTCGAGAAAACAAAAAGCAGGATGTGGCTAAGCCCACCAGGTTCGACGAACACACAATCAATGATCAAGAGCAAAAAGCGGGAACTCTCTTCACCAAATCAAACACATTTCAAGACAAGGAAACTGAAGATTTGAATGTCAAAATGATGCAACTGCCTGGAGAAGTTTGGAATGAAATACTGAACGTTAGTTACCGAAACATTACCTATACTATCGTATTGATACCAACTGAAATTAACTAACCTTCCTAAAAGTTTTCTATCTATCTATTATGTAGAGTTTTTATGTGAAGTTTTCTTTGCATCTTTCAACAATCATGCATGAAAAATTGAATATTTTATTGCACAAAGCGTTTTAGCACAAAGAAAAATGTGTTGGCATCATTCCTGCTAGAAACAAATATAGTACAAATTTATACAAAGTATTTCCTTACAATTAAGGCTGTTTTTCATTTATATTATTATGTATTAATTGTTTTTAAACTGCAGGGATCTTGGATTGGTTCTCATGGACCGAATAACAAAGACACAGCGGCTCTCGAAACACTGGCCAGATCGGCGTTGGAACTTCGGTCCAAGCGCGGATCTTCATCTCTACCAGACGGTCTAGAAGAATCACTGAGAAAATTTCTAGAGGAATCAAGAACAATAGATCCATCAAATAAAGATGACAACAGACGTACAGATCTCTTTGATAGATCTAGACTGCGAGATTTGTCTGATATCCTCCAGCTGTTCCAAGAAGCGGAAAGTGAAACAGATGACCTCGATATTGGAAGAAGTGATGAATTTTTTTCAATGGATTTCACGAACAGGGACTCCTTCGACCGAATTCGTAGACGTCGCTTGGAGGACCTAAAATTAGCCTTGGAATTGATACAGGTTCTGGAATCTCCAAAGAAAGGTTCGTCAAGGCCGAGGCAAAAGAACAAGTTGCGAGACAGAGATTTTGAACTCATGATGGCTCGAGCTTTGTTTGGCGATTCCTTACGCAGCTTGAATAGCTTGAGTCGACGCCAAAGAGGTACTCTGTCATCGGTGATGGCAACTATGGCGAGGTTCCAAGATTCACGAGAAAGTTTTGAGGATGACGACGATCATGACTTTGATCTTCCAGATAATTTTGATATTTCAGGTTTATCTTTTCCGCTAACAAGATTTCCTCCTGTATCACCGTCACCTCCGGCTCCTCCACCTTCAATTATCCCCTCTTCTGTTCGTCCTCCAACAGTGGGGCCTCCCAGTATTACTGGTCGTCCCGGCCCAGTAGGTCCACCTGGCCCACCTCAGCAGCTCTATCAGCTTCCAGTTGAAAATCAAGTATTTCAATCACCGCCTTCTATTTCTCCCCCATCGCCTCCAGTTCAGCCTCCATCACCACCTCCGTCTATTCCTTCGCCGCCAAATGGCCTTTACTCTCTGCCAGCTCAGAGCAATCCTCCAAGTTCGCGTCCATTTGACTCTACGTCAGATCCTGTACATTCCCTACCAACTCTATATGTTCAACCAGATGGAAGCTTGGACGTCAACCCACCCACCACGTTTGTTGATCCTCTGCCTCCATTACACCAGCTAGCAGACGGTACATTATCTCTTAATCCTCCAACGTCTATTCACAATCCGTCAACTAATCCAGTAATCACTCAGAGCAGCCCAACGATTACCGTAAGTGATCCAGTAAACACCTACCAGATTCCTACAAGGAACCCAGTTTCTCCTATAACCTCAGTAAAGGAACCAGTTAATTTATATCAGACACCTTCAAGAAGACCTACAGGTGACACATTTAGCGTCTCAAACTTCATACATCCTTCATTGTTAGATTCAAATACAGCTTCGCCGCCATCGTTTAATCTTCTGCCGCTTGAAAGTGCCGAAGATGATAACCCATGGACTCCAATTAGTCAGAAGCCGACTGTGCCTAATCCACCTGCTTCAAATCCACCGAATAACGACAAAGAAGTTTATAACTACCATTATCATTATCACCTATCTGGGTCCCATGGTGGAATACTAGCAAGTTTACTAGGTCAATCTAACGTCACAGCAAGCTCTCCCTCTTCACCCACGTCTTCGGACAACATCGGTGGTAGATATGGGGGTGTGCGAGATGTCAGACGAGGTCCCGCACAATCATCACCGGCGAATCCCCCTTCGATAAGCTTTTCGCTAGTCAATCCTTCACAGTCTTCATATTCCTCTGTAGAATCAAGCGATAACAATGTAAATTCTTTCAGAGACCCTCTTCCTCCTGCTCCACCTCCTTCTTCTCCATCAATTCAATCGTACGTCACTCCACGGCCAGCAAGTCCGCAGATGGAGCCGCCTCCTCCACGGACGATGTACGGGTCTCCACCAGTTCGCACTCCTCCTTCCATACCTCCAGAAACTTACGGTCCTCCTCCACCGCGTGGTCCTCCTGCTTCCCCTCCTGAATCTTATAGTCCTCCACCAAGACCTCCTCCTCGTGACCCTCTACCTCCAGCAACTTACGGGCCTCCTCCACCACTTGATCCTCCGGCTCCACCTCCTGCTTCTTATGGTCCTCCACCAACACCTCCTCCAAGTGATCCCCTTCCTCCAGCAAGTTATCGGTCTCCTCCTCCTCGTGATCCTCCAGCTCAACCACCTGTATCGTATGGTACTATAAATTTCGATCCCCCACCTTCTGCATACAGTTTTCCAACGGCTCGTGATCCTCTTCCTCCTATGCAAGTTAATATCCGGGTTGAAAGAGATCGGCCAGTTGCTTCGCCCATCGCACCTGCTCCTCCTCCGTTTCCAGCACCAGCTCCTCCACCACCTCCTCTTCCACCACGACCTGCACCTTTGCCGACTTATGGCACACCTACTTTTGATCCAGTTCCTGCACCAGCCACTCCAGTTCAATCGTATGCACCACCCCCAGCTGAACCCACCCAGTCATATGGACCTCCACCTGCTGTTCCACCTCAGTCATACGGACCCCCTCCTGCTACTCCACCTCAGTCATACGGACCTCCTCCTGCCGCTCCACCTACGTCATACGGACCTCCGCCTGCTGAACCTACCCAGTCATACGGACCTCCACCTGCTGCTCCACCTCAGTCATACGGACCTCCTCCTGCCGCTCCACCAATGTCATACGGACCTCCACCTGCTGCTCCACCTGCATCTCCTCCATCTTTGGCTCCAATTTATCTACTCAGAGAAGAAAGGACCAAAAAGAAGGAAAAGAAGGAGAAAGAAGATGGATTCTTCAAGAAGATGATTAAAAAGTATATCGGGAAACACAAGGACAGCAAAGAGAAAACTGAAGTTCGGACCACGATATTACAAGCCATACCTCTAGTTCCGGGAACTCCTAGGGATTCACAAAGAGATTCATTTTCCAGCGATGTTTACAGGCAGCAAGATGATCTACAAAGGGAGTATATACGGAACCGGAATGAGCTGCGACAGCAAGAGCAGCGCTTACTTGAGGTCTCCAGATTAGAAGACCAGATCAGACTTCAAGAATTGCAGCGGGAGAATCTAAAGAAGAAACTCTTGAAAGGACTTTCTGAAGACAAGAAACATGACAAGAAGTTCAAAGACTTGTTCTATACGGGAGCCATGGCTTTAGGAGCCATGTCTTTAGCACCTATGGCTATGGGTTACGGCAGGAAGAAGCGAGATATCATGAACGAGAACAGTACTCCAGTCCAAACGATATTTCTTGATGCCGGAGGATCGTTTACTTTCACAAATTCCCTCTCTGAGGGCACAAGATATTTTCCCGCGCAGACAACTGATTTCATCAATGGAAATGCATATTCGATCGCCCCGAATCTCACTTCATTATTTATATCTAACAATACACTAGCTAGTGATATTATCCCCAACAATCATGCGCATGCTAGAAAATTGCCCTCCCAGCATAAAGAAATTATTTCAGCATCTTCCGCTGTTGGTAAATCAGTAACATCGGGAACGCGTGACATGGATACTCATGAAATTCAAATGCTTCAGAAGCTGTACTTGGGTTACACTGATATTTCGCCGTCAGTTCTTCAGGACTTGAGGTCTGCCATGCCACCGAAGTCTATCATAGGTAAACCTTCGTGTCTTCTCAAATCTTTCTGTCTGCTGATGGAGTCTGCGGCGCGCACGGTTTACTTCGACGAGCTACTCCTGGAGTTTAGCATGTGAGTTATGGAACGCCGCAACAAAAAAAATAGTTGCTGCTAACATTAAAATCGCCATTTTTATAGTGAGCATTTTTCATTGGAAGTTTTAGAAATTGATCATTATGTTTGACCATGATTCATATCGTTACGTACACTAACTATCGCAAAATAATTTCCACCATAACATGAGATTATTCACCGACACATCGCTTTCTTTCTTAAATTTATGTTTTAAAATGTTTTTAACTGAAGTGACCAACTTTCTCTCAATTTCCAGGTTATACCCTGAAGTGATGAGCAGCTCGCCAATCCAAAAAGTTTTCCGTCAAGTCAACGAAGATTTGGAAGCTGAAGACGACATTCATCAGAAAGAAGACTCAAAGACGCCGGTAATTCACCCACGACTTATGATCTCTAAAAACTTTTCCTCGGCATCTCATGAAATCCAAAATGCTTTTCCTGCCTACCATGGACGACATGATGGTTTCTATGGTGAAACATGGAATTTTACAAACAACTTAGAGGATTTTTACCTTAAAGCGGCAAATTCTACGATAAAATCATATTATTTTCCAGTTGATCCCTTGAATTCGACTACCAATTTAGAAGGGCGTGTTTATGGGAAATCTTCCGAAGTTCCAAAGAACTTTGCTGGAAAGAAGAAATTCAACTCCAGTAATGAAAATTGTTCAACGTTTGATTGTGACGTTCCCAACTCTGTGCTGATCAAAGGCATCGGCACTTATTAATGAATCTTCACAAATGTATACAAAAAGTTTTTTAAAATTATTTATTAATGAATCTTCACAAATGTATACAAAAAAGTTTTTTAAATTATTTTTATTTAAATAAAAACGCAAGATGATGCAATAACAGCCATGAAGGAAATTTATATCAATAGTAAATAAAATTGAACGATCGTCTCTATGGATTAACGTATACATTATTATTAGTTTTCTAAATAATATCTCTACACAATTGGATTTATTGGTTGTTTATAAGTTCATTTTTCATGTAAAAATAAATAGACCTGTTATAAATTAATAGCTCTTAAACAGATCTATTTGTCGGAAGAACTTCGATGAATGAAAGTATAAGTCAACTCTTGTTTAATTAGAAGCCTGAAATAATATAGGTTCGTAGTGTAGTGTTGAGTACCTCACCATATATGTTTAAGGAAAACGTATAATACTTTAGGAAACTCTGGAACAAAACTATGACCGCTAAAATATCAAGTAAAGTTAAATTCGTGAGATTTATGTTTGAAGACAATCAAGTGTAACGTTTAATATTTTTTATAGAGACTTGAGGACCGCAATTACTATATCAGAATCTATAATATATATTATATTTATAATTCAATTTACGTTTCATCAGCGTTACCGTAAATTAACGTAACGCAAAAATCGATGTGTAAATTTTGCCAGCTACAAAACGTCACTAAGCGAAAGATTTGAAGGATTTATCGTAAATCTTTAGCTTAGTATCGTAAATCGTAAAACACTTAAAGATTTATCGTAACAAATCATTATTCCACTAGTGCTTGTCAGAAGCAACTAAGACCAGAAAATACCCAAACATGACACAATTCCAAAGGCCATATTTAAATTGATCCAGATAATAAATTAATTATAATGATATTATAGGAGCGTTTTTCTGTAAGTGTTCGATTTTTTCCATGTGGAGTGAAATTAGCGATGAAATGAGTTGAATATTCCTTCGAAGTTGAGATGAAATTTCATATTTAGTGAAATAGGTTAAATCCAAAGCCCCTATCATTGCTTCAACGAATGTTTTTTTTTTTCAATTCGTTTTGTAATAATTGCATACAGAAATATTTGGGAAATAACGAGGTGTCAAATTTTTCAACGTGATTATTTTTATTAAATAGGTATTTAAAGGTTGATCTGTTCACGTGCGTATAATGTTTAAATTAAAATAATTTTAATTACAATCTATATTTTTATACAATAAAAATGTTTTGAGTATTTTCTAGTCCTTTTAATTAAATTCCTGGGAATGAAGTATACAAAATGAAGTTTATTTGTTTATTATCTGATCGATTATAAGAAGTAATTAATAAAAAAATATTTTAGCTATTTAAACAATCGTGTCCTGAATTTACAAATAATCCTAATGGTTACAGTTAACCTTATCTACTGGTAATAATTGGCTATATGGTTAAATTTGAACGCCTTATTTACACAATTAAATTAAAATTCGAAGAATTCGAAGTTATGAATACTTAATGAGATAAATAAAAACTTTGGAAGCTATCCAACGTACAAGCAATAGAATAACTTCTTATATGCAAACAGCACTCGTCGAACTAAACAAATAAAGTATTTCGCCGATAATGAAATGTTTTTGTCACGCTTCTTTTCAATCGAAGAACCAAATTCCAATAAATCATTACTCGAAATTACCAAAAAATTATCAACGAGCAGCAAGAAATTCAAACACTTTATCGTGTTTTTGCAATAGAACACCGACGAGCAATAACTAAGAATAAGTAATTAATTAACGATCCTCAGTCTCACCGATGTCTGGTATCCTTCTCACCAGACATAGACCTTCTGGTATCGAAGGATACCAGAAGGATACCATGATAAAACTTAGACTTTATTTATGGCTATAAGATGGGTTCAGCTTCATAAAGAGCATGCCTGTTGCATGCTGACGCCTAGAGTACTGCTAACTAAATTTTTCTCTTTCTCAATAAGATGAAATTAATTAATATCGGACACATAAATGATTAAAGTATTGTCCTTACTCTTCCAATTTCCATTGATATTATCATGAAAATAAATTATGTAATGTACAGAATCTGTCCAACTTATTTATTACTAACTTTATTAAATTATTGGACCTTTGAATCATTGGAATATTCATAACAATCTTAAAATTCAAGAAATTTTACACGATTTTTGCAATTCTAGTTAATTAAAACTTTTATATTTTCTCACAGGCGGTAAAAAAAGTTTTCCTTAATTTAATCTTATCATAATTTCAGCTACAACTTTTCAAGATCACATAAATTCCTGGAGGGCTTTCGTTGGCCATACCCAATTTAACCCTCGATTCGTAATTCTCAGTTTAGCGCATTTACTTTCGTTAATAAATTTATTTATAAGTTCATCGGGAATAAATAAATATTTGTGGAATGCTGCATACATGGAATTAGCGGTATCGAAGTAATGAGAGACTCTATATCGTATATATATGTGAACAATAGAAGGCAGCATTTCTCCATTCCTCGCTGACGTGGCACCACTCATGGAGACGCGAGACGCAGGTTCATTTCTGAAAAAGAAAAAAATTAGCTTAATTTGTCTTTTCAATATTGCGAGTGATTGAAATGAAGTTAAATCAAAGTCAAACTGATTAAATATTTCAATATTGCGAGTAATTGAAATGAAGTTAAATCAAAGTCAAAATAATTAATAATCGATGTCATAGCCTATATGTATTTAAATATCATGAATTTTTACATTTTAATTCCACTCGTTTTATTTATTTAATTAATACAGAAAAAAATCAATTGCTAGCAAATCAAAATGATGAATAGCTTAAGCTGTGAATTTGTTTTTAGAATTTATTAGCTATTATTTTATTTATTTTTAGATTGACGAAAAGTCTTTAATTCATAGCTTTTCCTTTAGCCAACTCTCGGGCATTTGCCATGAAGCAAATGACTTGATCTTTTTGATTAATATCTAAAAGAATTATTTTACAACAGCAATAATCTTCAATTCCATAAACTGTCGAATGAATTGCAAGTTAATACATTATCTTTCAGTTAGCTGAAGCCATCCTTTAGTTTGCTGAAGCTTCTTTCAGTTAAATGAATTTATCTTTCGGGTAGCTGAAGCTATCTTTCTTCCAGTTAGCTGAAGCTCTCTAAGGTAACTGAAGCTATCTTAAATTAGCAGTAGCTATCTTAAGTTAACTGTAGCTATCTGAAGTTATCTGTTGCTATCTTAAGTTAACTGTAGTTATCTTAAGTTATCTGCAGCTATCTTAAATTAGCAGTAGCTATCTTAAGTCAACTGTAGCTATCTGAAGTTATCTGTTGCTATCTTTAGTTAGTTGTAGCTATCTTAAGTTAACTACAGCTGTCTTAAGTTAGTTCTAGCTATCTTAAGTTATTTGTAGCTACCTTAAGTTAGCAGCAGCTATCTTAAGTTAACTGTAGCTATCTTAAATTATTTGTTGCTATCTTAAGTTGGTTGTAGCTATCTTAAGTTAACTACAGCTGTTTTAAGTTAGCTGCAGCTATCTTAAGTTAGGAGTAGGTATCTTAAGTTACATTCAGAGAAATTAATGCGATGCCCAAAACACATACTAAAGATGCTAAGAAGCATGACCTGACATCAGTTGTCGCGCTTGATGAAAGATTTATGATGGTTAGCTGTTAGTGTCATCAGTCAGCTGTAGCTAGGTTGATATTAAGGTTAGTATGGATTATAGTATTTTAAGCAGAACAAGTTAGGGTTTAAGTATTAAAATCACTTGGCTGCTTAAGTCGCAAATTTACCAGGAATTTAAAAGCAAAGAAAATAGCCAAAAATTAGCTAGCTGGACTCCGAAACGTTTTCTCTTATAAGAAATGGTGAAATTTTTGGCTATTTTCTTTGCTTTTAAATTCCTGGTAAGTTAGGCTTTAGTTGAAGTATTATTATATGTTGAAATTGTTGTTTGCTGAAGATTTTATCGTATATTAGATGGCGCTTTAAGTCTCACTTGGCAATACTTGACGCGCTTCCCGTATTTGCTGTAGAAAGTGACGGGACATTTGCTGGGGGTGCCTGTGCGCTCGTCGAACACTTGGCAGGCGCTGAAGGGAGGACAGTAGAGGTGCAGGCTAACCGCAGGGTCGCTGTCCGACGGGTTACATACGCGGTGTAAACCCAGCGAATCTGCTAACGCAAAATTAATTACTTCAGATATTAATATTATGTATTAATATTATTAATATATTATTATTATTATTTAATTTTAATATTTTAATAAATTATAATAAATTAATAAATAAATTATTAATATTTCATTAAAATATTAATATTATTAATATATTATGAGCTTGATACTATATTAAGATATTGAAGATATTTATCCAGAGAGTCTGGATTGATATCTTGGTGATAGTAATCTGAATACACGCGGAACATCTGAACGAAATTGTAATCCTTGAAAATGTTGGTTCACAATATTTTAAATTTTTTTGAAAGACTTGAATATTTCCAAGTGATTTTGGAAATGGATTTTTACCAGTTTTCATGGAGTTAATCCCAATTGTGCGAGAAATTATGGGTAATTATCGTTACTCTCGAAACGAACAGCATAGACATCAGACAATGCTTATATGCTTCAGCATAGGTAATGCTTATAACATTGTATATCGGAACTGCGGATATTCATTTAGTTCATTCATTATTTCATGGTGCAGTGGGACTGTGTTCACTGCAAATATTTAGTTGATTTACTCGTGATTAATGCATGTATGCCAGAACAATTTTCTGTTATTGCTCTGTGACGTAATTTTTAGGTCATATATCTACCGTTCTGTTAAACGAATATATCACAGATTTCTACTTATATCATTAGTCTGCTTAAATAGCAATTTTGCCAAGAATTTTAAAAGAAAAACGCTAAGTAAATTCACCATGTCTTCAAAGATGAATTCAACTTATATTTCATTTAAGATTAAAAGAATCAATAAACTGGACACGATAGATTTATTTTAAATAATTGCTGATAGGTCATTGTGGATGTCACTCTATGTTAATTAACTACAAATAAGAAATAGTGATTATTATATTATTATTTTCAGTTTCAATGAAGCCATAACGCACCATTAATATAGCAGACGCCATTATTATATTATTAATTTCAGTTTCAATGAAGCCATAACGCACCATTAATATAGCAGACGCCATTATTATATTAATAAATGAAGCCAGAACGCACCATTAATATAGCAGACGTCATTATTATATTAATAAATGAAGCCAGAACGCACCATTAATATAGCAGACGTCATTATTATATTAATAAATGAAGCCAGAACGCACCATTAATATAGCAGACGTCATTACTATATTAATAAATGAAGCCAGAACGCACCATTAATATAGCAGACGTCATTATTATATTAATAAATGAAGCCAGAACGCACCATTAATATAGCAGACGCCATTATTATATTAATAAATGAAGCCATAACGCACCATTAATATAGCAGACGCCGTTGGTGGGTAGAGGGGTTCGCCCCACTGCCCTCATACCCTCGCCACTGCAGCTTCCCTCGGGCCACTCATACCTCATCTCCTCCAGCTCCCCTGACAGCACCTGGGCACACAATCCTTCAGTTTTAGAAGAAATCATTAATTCAGATTATTATCAATAATTATCAATTCACGCAATTAATTAATTAATGTACACACAAGCATTATTTCAGATTATTTTTTTCCTGTAAATATTAGTTTGAGAATGATCATATTAAGAGGCATCAGTTTGAAAAAATATGATAATTATTTAGAATAAATTCATCTTGTATTGGTTAAATTTTAACAAAAAAGAACACAAGCAAATTTTTTTGGGGGGGAAGTAGGCGCGTGACAATATTGCTCGGGTTACTCATGTCAGGCGGTAGAGGGTTAAAAGTAGATAAAGTAGATAGGAACCTTCATGAAGCAGTGGGCGTCTGTGTGGTCGTGAATGGTAGATGCCTGTGAAGGCCCCCAGCACAACAACATCAGGTTAAACCTGCCGTTGCCTTCATCCACCAGGTTACGAGTGTACCTGCAAGGTTGCAATGAGGGTTGTTAAAAGCATTAGAAGCATCCTCATATATCTTTTACGCCGACTACTATAGAGTAAAAGTTTGCTTGTATATTCTAACTCATTTATTAGTCGTTTGTTAGCTGAGCTATATGCACGTGCCGAACCCACATTAATTTGAAAAATCATCAAAAACCTTAATCAAGGTTTTTGTCCGTGTTAAAAAAATTAACGAAAAAAATTATCAAAGGAACCGTGTGTTCATTTACTGTTCTCTACGACCTTGAAGACCTACAACAAGGATCTTTATAAGGGGAACATGTTAAATGTAACACCTGCAGATTATGGAAAAATGTTTAAACCTGGCTGCATGTACTCTCACTCACCAGGTTACGCATTGAGTGGCTGAGTCTGTTCTCCGGAATAGAGCATTAAAGACATAATTCTATGTTAATTAAGTACAGAAAATAAATATTGATTGACATTATTAAGCGCTGAAAGATGAAACTTTAAGGAATCGCAGGTTAGTTGCCTGGAAATAATATTCATGATTGAATAACTGCTGGGAAATGACATTCGATATCACCGACGCAATGTTAATTAATAAGTCACATTAATTTTTCTTTTGATATTGAAACCCATGTATGCTCGCATAGAAAATTCATCTTAAAATTGCGCCCTGACGATACAAGAAATGAACCCAGAGACCCCTGCATAAAGATGTGCCTCAGAAAATGCAGAATGATAATTCGGGACATTTGCGAGAAGAACGTTATCAGTACGAGAAGCGCAATGCGCTCGTTCTTATCATTTATCTGTATTTATCGCTTAATTTTCGCCGACTCCGTCATCACATCGAGACCAGCTACAACCTTTCGACGTTTCTGGTTCGATTATTATTCAAGCTAAAAGCCACAATTTCATCAAAGATCTTCAGTAAAAGCTGCATTCCACACTTCCCTACAAAGGCCTAAAAATCAGTTAGATTTGTTATTATCTCTGACGCAATCGTCGCTATAGTGGGTGATACGATCCAGCTTTGTCTCTGTCTTAAATAAAAACAGATTTTATTTGTCCAGCTAATCATTTCGTCTTTGTGAACCTCCACCATGGAAGTACAAAGTCCGATCTCATATACTTTTGTTTTCCATTTTTATGCGTTTCTGGCATGTCAATTATTTTTTTCAGTGTAATACTATAGCTGGTAAGTTGAATTTGAACAAATTGTCCCATAGAATAACTCTAGTTACGCGCTATATGTAATTATATATAATATAATTAGAAAGATAACAAAACATAATTATAGATGATTTTTCTCGATTATGGATTATTTACAAATGAGATATTCAGAATCATTATTGAAATTATTAATTTATCGTACATTTATGTCAAACTTTATAAATGATGACGTAGACGTGATGAAAGTTGCGGTTAAACAGAAAAACAACGATTTGAAGACTCATAGAAAGAATTTGGCTAGGCCTACATCGCAGAAATAATAGGGATACCAGTACATGATTTAAATAAAACATCAGCAGAGATTAGAAGACGCAATTCATCGGAATTCAGAAAAAGAAGTAATGAAAGGAACAGATTCAACAGAACTCTGTTGAATCTGTTATAATAATTTAATTAAATATAATTTGATTACAAATTTGATTAAAAAATAATTCAAATCGATCTAATATAATATAATTAAAAAACATAGTAAAAGTATTATGATGATATAAAAAGAAAATATTATAGGGGAAGGTGAACACGATTCCTCGATAAATAGAACTTGAAGGTAAACAACGAGTCTATTTAGGCCTAAGCAAATATATAGGCTAACTTGAAGGTAAAACCTATTTAGGACCATGCGATAAGACAGCGTTTATCACCGTAATGCGTGCTGCGTCGTACCCAAGCTTACGTCAAAACTCACACTTTAGCTCAGGGCGCCATTGGAATTTAAATGATGGCACTAAAAGCATTTCCAAAGGCAATGTTAAGCTTTGTTCTTGCGTAGCTGCCATTTTTTCGGATACTGACATCAAAAGTTTCAATATATAAATAAATGTAGCTATTTACCGGTTATTATATTTTGATGCATCTTGTGCAAAATTACTAAATTTTGTAGTGCATTAATATCTATTCCTGCTGTCCATTATTTAGACATAAATGATTCATTGTGACTGAATATAAATATATAGTAAATACATAACCAGGAAATTTATTTAAAACCGAAACTTCTCTCGCATTTCACTACCATGTTTGGTGACAAATAATGTTCAAATTATATATATATATTATATATATAGAATCTATGTGTAAATATTTTGTTATATCATTTGTTGTTTATAAAAATATAGAATATCTATGCATTTTTTGTTATTTTATTTGTCGTTAACTGCACTCACTTGTAACGGTCGAATTTAGTGAACATTATATAAATATAGGAATATTTGTATATATTTTGTTATTTTTTTGCCGTTAACTGCACTCACTTGTAACGGTCGAATTTAGTGAACATTATATAAATATAGGAATATTTGTATATATTTTGTTATTTCATTTGTCGTTAACTGCACTCACTTGTAACGGTCGAATTTAGCGAACTTCCTCCAGTGCGCGGGGTTGGTGTCGTAGGCAGCGAGTATGGCAGAGATGAGGTCCACGTCCACAGAGTCGCTGTCGAACGCAGCGTGTATTTGCCGGATGAGGTCGTCGAGGTCGCGGACGGTCACATTCCGCAACTGCGGACGATTTGACGGCTTTTGCGGATACTCGAAGGCCTGGCCGAATGAGACGGACGGAGCGGCGTAGTCCATTTGTGTGATGTCCATCGTTCTAATGCGTGTGTTATTTATTTATTTATTGGAGATTATAGATTGTTTTGTTTGTTATAACGTTATGCTTATTAGTGTAGCTTTGATACTATTTGATAATTATTCGACTAGATTGATTATTATATGATGCCGTATGCTTGGAAGAAATGGCGCGTCTGAAATAAGAATTTCCTTTTAAATTTATTAATAAAATTACTATTTTAAAATTATTGGAACCGCTATAAATTCACTTCTTAGACAAGTAAGCGAAATATTTTTTTATATTTCGATATATTACACCTATAAATCATTGGCTGGGTCGATGATGATTTTTGTAAGCAATCATTGGTAAAGGTTCCTTAGATAATAAATAAATTCCTGTTTTATATTTATGAATGATAGATTATAACGTAATGAATTTAAATAAGTCCCCCTGGATGTATTATTGATATGAAGGGCATCGCATCCTAAACTTAAAATTGAGTATTGAGCATTGAGTAAAATTTTAATTAATAAAATTGAATGGAATAATAACATACGCTCAGAAAATGTATGGACCACATTGTCCAAATAGTGACACACTACCTGCGTGCACCACAGATATTTCACTCATTTTTACGGACAAAACTGGGTCAATTTTACCCACATAAAGGCAAAAGTGCTTCGATATTTGGACAAAGACACATCAAGTTCTCTGAGTGTTCCTTGTCCCAATGACAATTATTGAGGCCAGTCTATGCAGTTTTAGATATGAATCTCAGTCGCAAGTGTGAAGATATTTGGGCTTATAGAAGATGGGGGAACTGCAATGGATTGATGACGTATATATATAAATAAATATACATAAATATTAAATAAAATATGAATTTATATAAATATAAAAAGAACGCAAAAGAGATTCGTGCCCGTGTCAGGCTACTGGAATTTTTAGGAAATTTTATGTATAATTATATTACTTTCACTTAGGAAGATGCAAAACTATAAATTTTAATAGATAATCATGCCCATTGGATTCAGTGAATCATGCTCATTGTAGATTTTATTAGCAATTTAAGCAGAAATTCTGATATGTAAACCAATAAGTTCAATAACATTTGAATAATTTTAAATAACATAGTCAAACGTTGCAACAAAAAAATAAATTTAATTTTTTAGTATTTGTATAAATTATCAGCGCGTTAGAGTCGTCTCGTTGTCCACGAGTTTGGCCGCCTATACGCCGCCCATGGATTCGTGGAACTCATTCACCTGAGTAACTGACCTCAACTTTCTCAAGAATTCTCGTGCAAAGTGTACCGAGGTTTAAGCCTAACGCTTTGCTACGCGTTGACGTGACCGCGACACGTAGTTGTCTTAGGAGGTCGCGGCGCGTCAATCGGTCTCTTCTTGTGTCAACCTCCTACTGAAATACATGTGCGTGTCCCTGATCGTGTTTCACTGACTCGAAGACTGATACACAAAGAAAACTGCTTTATATTCTAAATAATAAATTACTTTTATCACACACAAATATAAGTAATATAATATACAATATAATATAAACATCATAATAAAAACGATCGTAATTCGACGTAATTATGAATAGAATTTTTTGTTCGTGCTCTGATTGAACATATGTTAACACTGATGCAGTATGAATTGTAGAGTAAAAGAATATCAACTAAAGTCGCAAAGTATTCAAAAAAAAGGGAATTACGTAGCATTATAATTCTCACACAAAAAAAACGAAAAATACAAGGGGCACACAAACTAAACCGTCTTCTCTTAACGGAGATCGATGCGCACTGACCGCCCGAGTGTCCTGGACCGGCGTATTTATAGGGTACGTGAGGAGAGGGAGGTGGGGGACGGGGGGCAAGATGGGGGGTATGAAGCATGGGCATGTTATTGTTGATGGGGAGGTGATGGGGAGGTGATGGGGAGGTGATGGGGAGGTGGTGGGGAGGTTTTATTATCCAAGTTTTATACGAAATTAAAATTTAAGAAGAGACCAGATGCCAGGTTATGGGTAGCAGGGAACTGAAGGGTTATTCATAGCTGTGGCTTAGGTGATGTGATGTAAGTTGTGCATCAAGTGATGCATCAATGACTATGTAAGTTGCTTAACTAAACTCTAGGCTAAAGAAAAAAATTGGAGTAAAATATAAAATATATAGAATAAAATACACCAGACAAATTAAGTTGAAACAACGTTTACTTAACATTGATTATAGAAAAAAAACTGTTAATTCAATACTGTTATTTTACTCGTCTGCTTATTATTATTTAATACACGGGAACCTCAATACTTGTTCCTCACATGCTTGAAGGAAGAGCGACTTTTACAATATAAAGATTACGTGAAATGTGTCTTCGGGTGTTCGAATTTTATGATGACATTACTTCGATTAAGCATTAGATCACGCATAGGTGACAACAGGGAAACTTGCCATGTTTGGCTATTGTCTTTACAAAAACATTTGGAAATTTTTGAATATTTAACTCTGTTTTCAACATTATTCCAAACCTTTCACGATGGTCGGGCAGCAGAATGCCCACAGGTGTACGTATCAAGACTTAACACCGAGAAACACTTCAAATAAAACGTTCTCAGTAACTAATATTCTTGCCCGTATAAGTGACACCTTTATTTCCTGAAATTATTACTCATAATTACCTGTATATTTAACTCATGATTCCTCCAAATATAAGAATCTGTTCCGAAATAATATTGGCAAAATAAATCAAAATGTGAAATGCATCATGAGTATGAATTTTGAATTCACCGAGCGAATCATCAAGCAACTCAAACGTCAGTGTAAATTAGCTGCAGTTCAAATTTTCTCCTACAGAGGGCGCGGGTGATTTTTATTCAGGCAATAAAGTGTGAACTATTCGTCGCAGGCCTGCTATGTTTTTTTTATGTTGGCCACGAGGCCTTAAATTCCAGTGCATTCTAGGCGAGGTAAAATTAGAGGAAAAAATTGAGCAGCGTATAGAGGAGAACCAGCCAGCTGCTGCGCAATTGTAATATAAAAATTTTGGAGATAAACCTCGAACTTGAGACTCGATATCACTAAATGCAGCTTATACACTAACGAAAATGGATTTGATTGACAGACGTAAGAGTTGTAACTGTTGTAAACGTAACAGAGTGCGTAACAGTACGTAACAGTAAGTAACAGAGTTAGGTGCTGTTGAAAAGCCCCATATATACAAGACTCACATGCACACTCTCCGACCTCACATGTTGTCATTAACAGACTCATGCATATTCTGTTGTTACGATACATGCCTCACAAAACCGGTATTTTTTTTTATAAGAAGCAAGCATATACTAGACGGACCTTGACAGGCTTTTTCATCGTGTCTAATAATTATACTAAATGTGCTTAATAAGCAGGCTGATCGCTCTGCTGTTATAAGACATGTGCCTAATATGGAACATGTCATGTTGTTGTGTGCCATACATTACATGTGTTATGGCACATGTTAAAGACATGTGTTTTGGCACATGTTCAGACATGTGTTAAAGACATGTGTTTTGGCACATGTTCAGACATATGTTAAAGACATGTGTTTTGGCACATGTTCAGACATATGTTAAAGACATGTGTTTTGGCACATGTTCAGACATGTGCCATACCCAGTTTTTAAGACTCATGTCTATTCAAAATTTCATTGCAGTATTATTACGACACGCGTCTAATCAGTAGACTCCTTGCACGTTTTTTACACATGACTGATTAGATCACCTATATCAAAGGGTTCTTACGATCACCTATGCACAGTTCTTACGACACGTGCCTAATAAATAAACCCTATGCCCCTGACATATTTCTTATTATTATTCTCATTTATATAGTCAGTATTTTAACTAGTACATCTATTGAAACTGCTAGTTGCAACCGAGCACCTGTCTTTATCTAAGAAAATACAAGGTTGAGAATAGTGATTAAGAAAAAGCTAGAAAAAATGAAGCCGTTGCTTCTCTACGGATGGCAACGAGAAATGAAACAATACGTATAACAAACTATACTCTGACACATATACGAAGCATGCTTAAAATAAATCACATGACTGAACGTATGAATATCAATGAAAATAGACGATCACATCACTGGCCACGTCTCAACAAACATGTTGTCTTATAACTAAGGCTGCTGTGAATTTTCGGGCGTGACTGGGTCAAAACCAGAAGTTATTGCTGTGGCTACACTGAAGTCCATTATGCTGATGGTAAAATAGTTTTTTTCGCATTGAACAATATACCAAAAAATCTATGGGCAATTATGAACGATGCAACGAAATTTGAAGGAAACACTGACAATGCGACCATGTCGGTGCCTTTGATACTGTAGTAGCTGGTCCCGTCTTACAGCTGACGTCGCTCTACATATAAAAATATTATTATTTTACTTACTGTAGTCGCAATTTATATGGATGACTCAGTACTGCAGAGCAGTTCTCAGGGACGCTTGGGCCACATCCATCTATTATGTTAACTCACCCTGAGAACCCAACTGAAATTAAAAAAATATAACTCAGTACTCACTGCAGTGCGTGACAGAGAGCGCATTTTCTCGTCGACGAAAACGTGAAGTCACGGACAGAAGGACGGACATGACGTGCACAATAGCACCTTTTTTCCATAAATGAGAGAATGCGCTAAAAAGTTTCATTTACTAGCCATACCAATAAACTATTTCCCCTTTGAGATTGTCTATCATTTACTAGTTCACAATTTTCCTCATGAATTTGACAGTTTTTTTTATATCAACATTTTATGTATCAATCCAAAAAAGTAACTGACTCACTCGAAGAGCTTTGATTTTGAGCCATAACTTTGATCGCTATCGCGCTTCAGTTTTGCGTCATGAAAATGAACCACGTTGGCTGTGGCTATCTTTGAACACTAACTCTAAAGAAACGCAATCGCGGAATAATTTGGCTGGTGGCGTAAAAACTTTTTTTAATGGATACAGAAGCCAGTGTTGGTAACAGCAACGGCTCTGTCAGCATACACAGCAGTATCCCGCTCCCATGCAGTTGCATTGTTATTTCTTTGTAAACGTCGCTCTATGATTGTATTTATCAGTGTATTTATCTGTCTAATATATCCGTTTTTTTGTAACTAATCATTATCTGATTGCTTGACAATTACTTTTAAATGATATCGTCAGTTTCATTTCAAAAAGAAAAAGAAGCATTAAAAGTAACGTAACAAAATACTAACG